AAAAAGTCAAATGCAGAAGAGTGCAAGAGATCTCTCCTCACACTGGAGACCCAAAGAATCCAGCTGAGGGCCTGGATCCTCTGGCAATGCCCTGCACGTGCAGTGTGTTTCCCTTGTTTGATTGATGAAAGGTGGCTCAACTGTAAAACCACAGACTAGCAAGCAGGAAGCAGAAAAGAGCAAAAGGGAAGGGAGGAAAAGGTCCGTTCATTTTAAGTGCGGAGACAGTGCTTCCGGTTGCATCTCTTAGACCAGAACTTTGCTCCATGCCACACACAGCCAAAGGACACTCAGAAGTGTAGTTTTTGTTTTGTTGGTCTTGTTTGGAGACAAAACTTAGGGGTTCTGTTACTCCTGAAGGAGAGTAATAGTAGCCACCACTTCCAACAATGATTGTACCGTTCACATCTCTGCCAGTGACTTGAGAGACAGGCCCACCTTTTGTAGTGCTTTTCTTGTCCGCCTCCTCAGTAGACCTGAGGGCAGGGAGCACTGTCTTGCCTGTTTTTGTGTCTGCAGCACTGAGGATGGAAGCTAGGGAAGTACCTGAGAAAGGAAGATCTGGATGGATGCCTGGGACCATTTCAGCACTAACGCAATAAGCAAAGGTGAAGTTAGGTAAAGGTTCTAAAAATAGAGACTCTCGAAGCCAGGAATTCATTTCTATGAGGGACAAGCAGTGTCTTGAGAAACAACAAAGCTCTGCCAACATATGAATAAAAAAACCTTTTTGACTCATAAATACTTTTAAAAGGTAAGCTTACAAGGTTGCAAGATGGGTTTAATCTTCAAGTGATGCATGGAAAATATTGTTCTGAAGCCAAACAACTAATAAAAAAATGTGTTGAGAGATTGGCCTGGTAATTAAAAATAAGGAAAGGAGTGATCTAAAATACATTAATTTCCTCATAGTGGAAAAGAGAAACACCAGTAAGAAGGAGGAAAAGAGGAAGAAAGAGGGAAAAGAAAAGTAAAAAGAAGAAAAGGAATGGACCCAAACAGAGAGGGGCGGGGGAAGGAGCAGACAGCAAGGGACTGAATTGATGCTGCTATCCATGGTCTGCATTCCAAACAGGCTGCCCACCTAGACCAGCATAAAACTAATCTTTCCTAGAGCTATGCACCTACCGGTACTCTTGGAGGTACATTCCGCTATACTGTTTGATTGCTCAAAGTTTTCCAACCGCAGTGAAGATTATATGTTTCTGTTATGCATTTTGAAATCAGGGCTAGAACCAGAATTTCTGATACTCCCTTGGTTCTCACTTTACATTTCCAGACTAACAACCAAATTTTTAAATTGCCATATAGCAATACCGTTAAAGGTGTTTCTAATAATTGTGTTGCAGTAAACAGATATAGAAGAAAACAAATGAAATCTTGTATTGAACATAGAAAGTGGAATTGTTCTATAGTCAGGAGAAATTAGAGACAGCTTAGTAGAAATGCAAGAAATTAGAGACAGCTTTGCCAAACAGCTAGAGCAGATGTGATAGTGGACATCAGGGAACTTCTGTCTCAGTGATAACAGAAATTGAGGCTGAGGTAAGGGGCATAACTCACTGGCAAAACCTTTTAATTGAGAAGGAAGAGAAAACAGGGAGAGGACCTCAGTGTGAGAAGAGCTGAAGGAAGTGCTGTGCTGTGCTGTACTGGCCAGTTAACAAAGGAAGGGGAAAGTTTTTTATTCATATGTAAGGCTGCGGGGAGCGGGGGAGGTCTGGTAATTTTTCATTGGTTTAGGGCAAAGCTTCAAAAGATGCTTTCTTTTCCCGTGCAAATATCTCAGCGTCAAGAAATAGGCAGCCAGCTTATTCCAGGCACTATTCCTTTCTCTCCATCGGTGCCCCCATCCTGCACAAGCACCCTGGCCTTGTAATAAGGGTAGGCCGCTGTAGTTGCTAAGAGAACACATTGTAAGTGTGGGAGATAATGTAAATCATGCTTTTAACGAGGAACAGGTTAAAGGCCCGAGGTTTTTTGATCCTCTGTCCCTCTGTGGTGATCCCCAGCAGATTTATTTTTTCATCTAGTTTATTCTTGGAGATGATATGGCATCCTGGCTTTAATGATGCAGCTGGTTTTGGAGGTCAATGCGACTTCTGGGCGTAGAGTGAGGATGTGAGGAAGAACACATTGCATACTTTTAGTACTAATAGGCCTTGAGTTAAGCCCCTGGTCCCCATGGTGGTATTCATTAAACTAATCACTGGTGAAACTTAACTTTGATAGTTTATAATTACCTCAGAAAAATGCTTTGCCTTGGCATCGTACTCCTTGGTAGTCTCAAACTTCTCTGACCTGTATTCCTCAAATAGGAGCACCAATACTACTAAACAGGTATGGCAACAACCCGAGGAAAGATAGGTCAGAGACTTCCCGTAGGATGCTTTCCATCCTTGGCTTCAATTTTGGCTGTACTAGGGGCTGAACCCGGGGCCTTCACACTGACTTATACCACCAACCCTTTTCAATTTTACTGAAATTTCAAGACAAAGTCTCGGTAAGTCACTAAGTTGTCCAGGCTGAGCTCAAAATTGTGATCCTCTTGTTGCAGAGCCCCTCCGGCCGCCATGAGTGCTGGGATTGCAAGTGTGCGCCACCACGCCTGGCTCCCATCCATATTTTAAAAAGGGAAGAAGTGAGATATTTCTTCTAGCTATAGCTTCTCATGTCCTTTCATAACAAACTTCTCAGAGGCACTGTTTGGAAGTCTGCAAACCTAAGTGACTTCCCTGTAGGGAGAGGAAAAGGGCTAAGTTTGAGTTGATCACCAATGGCCAGTGATATAATTAATCATACCTATGTAGTAAACTCTGTGCAAAAGGTCTGGGTCTGAAGGGCCTCGTGTGTCTTTCCTAATGCATCTCTTCCCTCTAGCTATTCACCTTCATCCTTTGTATTATCATCTATAAATGGGTAAAAATAAGTGAAAGTTTCCCTGAACCATCTTAGCAAGTGAGTCGAACCGGAGGAGGTTATGGGAAACTTGATTTATAGTCAGTCTGTCCTAAGGTCACAAGTGGGGGCTTGGGACAAAGCACGTAAAGTGCAGAGACAGTTGTGGTCACTGAACCCTCAAATTATGAGCTCTCAAGCCATCTCCAAGGAGATAGTGTCAGAACTGAACTGAATTAAAGGACATGGCAGTTAGTATCTGTGGGAGAATTGGTTGGTTGTTAGTAGGAAGAAATCCCCACACAGTTTGGTGACCAGGGATGAAGGTGTCTGTGCTATCTTGACCTTGTGGAAATAAGAAAAACACTGTTTTTCCTATTCTTAATAGTTATATATATTCATTGTCTTCAATTTTTACTCCTCCATTCTTTCTTGAACTTTCTTTAACTGAGTTTTATCCCTGATATTCCAGTGAATGAATTCCCTTATCAATATCACCAATTATCTCCACTATGCTAAGTCCAGTAGATCATTTTACTCTTACCTCTTAGGTTTTGCTCATCTGACTCTACCTAGCAGCAGCTTTTGACATTGTCTATCATACTAGAATCATTTTCTCCACTTGATCCCTGGGACACCATAAACTCTTAGTTTTCCTCCTACCCCTCTGGTCTCTACTTAGTCTCTTCTGCACCTCTTCATCTCTTTTACGTCTGTATTTGAAGGTCCTGGTCCATGGCTCTCTTTCCTTTATCTCATCTACTCTGTAGTTTAGGTGACTTCAATTGACCCTATCACTATGCTGTCTATGTGTAGATGGCTCTAAAATTTGTATCTATAACTCTGTATGTACAATGTCTTTCCTCTAATCTCTATAGGCAGTTATCCAGCTGTCTATTTAGCTTCTCCCCTCCTCCCCTTGAATATTAGTTAGGTAACTCAAACTTAACTATGCAAAAAAAAAAAAAAAAAAATCCTCCTCTTTTTTGTGGTAAGGATGGAACCCAGGGCCCTGTGCGTGCTAGACAAATGCTCTACCACTGAACTACTTCTCCAGCCCCCAAATTGAATGCCTGACCATCATCCCCAGGCCCCATAAAGTTATTCAGTTGCCCATTGTAAAAAAAAGAGGCATCATCTTGTGATACTTGATACTCAATCTGCTAGCAACTTCTATCAGTATCTTCACTGTTATCAACCTGGTTCAAGCATTGCCTCTAACCTGGGTCGTAGCGTCTACATTTGCCTTCTACACAGTTGTCTTTTCAAATGTAATTTACATCATGTCACTCTGTTCTCAACTGTTCAATTTCTTCCCATTTCACTAAAAGTAAATGGTAAATCCATTACCACGGTTTACTCTCTGTCTGTTTTGTGAGATTATCTTCCAATGTTTCCTATTCCCTATCCTAGTGTTCTCACTATTTTTAGAATTAGTATGCTGTTTTCCCAGATTAGAGCTTTAGAGTGTGCTATTTCTTCTATCTGAAAAATTCTTTTCTAGTATCTCTTCCTCCCTGAGGTCCTTAATGTCACTTTCCCAGAGAGGCAGTCCCTGACCTTTTCATCTAAAATATAACCCCATTACTCCTTCATGTTATCCTGCTTTATTTTTCCTTATACAATTTGTATATATCTGATACATTTATTTTCTGTCTCCCACACCAGAGATGAAGGTAAGTATTCTGTCTGATTCACTATTGTATGTCTGATTCACTATTGTATTGTATTTTGGCTCCCCCAAATAACCGGTGAAGAGCAAATTCATAATAGGTATATTTGCTTCTTTTTGTTTCCAATTCGTTTTTATAACTGAAGGTCTTGTATATAATATAATGCCATATTTCTGTGTTCTTGCAGTCTATGCTTTATGCACATAAAAAGCATACTGGTGGAATAATCTTGAAGGATTATGAAACTTGCTATTGCACATTTTGTATTCTGTTTTCACTGATTATTGAGCGGGCAGGGCACAAGCTGTTACTTTTGAAGTAGTTACATGATGAAATTGTTTTGGGTACAGTACACACTGTTTGCACACAAGTACTTGGGAGCATCTGGGAGTGCAGAGGAGTGCTAAACAAAAGAGATTGTTTTGCCAGTTCCAGAGCGGTGATGTCTTTCAAGACAGTGTGTTGCTCTTCAGCTACAACTTCACTGGAATAGAATGCAAGGTATTTTTAACAATAATAATTTGACATGTTTTAAGAAATATTTCCTAATCGAGGACCTGTGGGGATTTTTAAAGGGTCATAAAATTTTTTAATGGGCTGCTTTTTAAAAGCTTGTTAGATGAATTACAAAATAATAAAGCTCCAATCTGCTTAGATTAGGGACAAATTTTGAAATATGTAAACTGCGTCATGAATTAGTATTGTAAACTTGAATAGCTACAGTAGCTCAAACTAAAATCTCTAGCTTTTACAGTGCTTCAAGAACTGGTTCACTGGGTAGACTCAGGATGCCCTATAGCAGATCACTGGAAAAAAATGATGGACTAGGATGACTAATGTTTTTCCAGGACTTATTGAACATATTCCTTAAATATCAATGTTAGTGTGAAGTCTTGTGCAAATATAATCAAGTTATGGCTAACTGGCTATTAAAGTGATCTTTGTTAAAAGTTTCTACCTGTATTTCATTTGCACAGTTATTTTCATCATTCAGCATGTGCCTAGCCTAAATCCCTTGTGTATTTTTGTAGGAAATCACTTACATTAATTGACTAGTAGCAAACATTGCAAATCTGGTTCAGAGCTCTTTTGTGTTTGAATGTATCCAAAATCATCTTCAGGATTCTTTCTAAGTTACTCCACTGCAGAATGTGTTCTTTGGTAGTTATTATGGAAATTGGGTTTGACTCACCACTAGGTCATGAGCTGATTTCCCAATTAGTGAGCCATGCTTCGATCTCAGCATGCTATTAGACCGCAAGACCTGGCACGTTTTAGGTGTTCTGAATATAATGCTGAGTCATGACCATACTCTAGAAACTATGAATACACATTTTGATGTGTTATATGGTCTCCTTGAAACAAGTGTGTTATCCAGGAAGCCAGTGCTCTCAAATTACATCCTGGAACCAAGGGTAGACAAATAGCACTTAACTAATGAAATTGAGAGTGGTATCCTAGGGATAACTTGTATGAGATGAAATTGATCTCAGAATGGGATTAGTTGAAAGATAGTGTTATATGTTAAAAGTAGCATGGCCTTTAAAATCAGATACAGACATCTTTTCTTGCTTAAATTGTATGACCTTGAGAAATTTCCTTAACTTTTCTGAGCCTCAAATGCCTCAATAGCAATAATAGCTATTAATGTTTGGGAGGCTAAAAAACATTTGGCACCTACATTGACAAGTAATAAAGTTTAAATAAACTGTGGTCCCGATTAACATTCTCTAAAGGCATCTGGCAAAGCTGGGGGCAGACCTCAGGTCTCCTGGTCGATGCCTTCTCGTGTAAGATGCCATCACTGGATCATTTTAGTCTGCATCACAATACCTTTCCACTTCTCTCTCCTCGAATTCTACTTCTCTATTTTCCCATTTTCTTTCTCCCAAGCTCGATATTTTTAGATACTTAAAACATGTAAGTAGAAAGTTTCAAATTTTCTAGCACTGTTTTTCCCCAATGGTAACAGAAAACATGCTCCAATTAACTTTCTTTCTTTCTTTCTTT